CTATTCCAATACCGGTTAAGTAAACAGTTATAACTTAACGTAATGTCTGATTATGGAAAATGAGCGCGATCATACCATGTAATTCCTTACAGCATAATTGATTGAATTAATGTGAACGCTTTTGGCAATTTTGCTTTATGTAACTTTGTAAATGTATATGTTGTAAACCATTTGGCTGACAAAAGACAATGCTATCGTTTAGTTTTCAAGCTTCAAACTTTTATAACTAACTATCCATTATAAACCGAAACTTGCATCTTACCTAAACGAGTAAGTTAAAACGAATATTAACAAGTTCATTACTTTGGGCTATCTTTTTATCCTCAAATTTGAAAAAGTTAGAATCCCGGCGTAAGAATAAGAATTCATTTTCTGCTATCCAGAATAAATTTGTGGATTTGCTGACGTTTCAAACAGCTACGCCTGCTGTCCTTTGTCAAAGCGAAAACTGACTTTATCGATCAGCAAGTTTAAAGTTGAGACTGTGCGTGTTGGCCTTGGACTGATCGAATTTTCTCCGGTCGCTGTTTGGCTCTGCGTATCGATTTAGGCTTGGCGTAACTGCAGTTGGTGTTCTGTTTCGTCCCTACGGTAGAAGATGCTGGTAATCCTGCTCCTTCTTCCGGTGGGTTCGTCACAGGGCCGTCTTCGTCTGCAAGTCTCGACTTCAGTTTGACCATGTCCTGTCTTTTACTTACGTTATGGCGTAGGACTTTGTAGGCTGCTGGGAGGTTCAGATGCCTATTGACAGAGTTGGCGTCTGAGTGCTATGCCCCAAGCGCCAATCTTTCAGCTTTTGAGGCTCCTCGGCTTACAATGGTCGTTCCTTGGTTATCGAAGTCGTGGCCAGTCTCTCCGATATGTCTTGCAAGCTGCGAGTTAAGGTCTAGTCTCCGAGCCGCCGCTTTGTGTTCCTGTAGGCGGGTCTGCAATTTGCGCCCTGCTTCTCCAACGTAATTACAGTCTCCATCGTTGCAACGTATTTTGTAGACAACTGCGGAGGTTTCAGTTGAGGGCAGTCTGTCCTTAGGTTGCATCACAGAGTGTCTGTAGGAGCCTGCCCCGCCAGCGCTGCCATGAGCACTCATCTGCCTGCTCTGTCAACGTGTCAGTTAATCAGTTAGTCGATATTGCGCATCGCTGATTACTGGTTCACACCCCCAGCAAGACCGAAGGCGGCGGTAATGGACGCCGAAGGCAAGACCGATGCCAATGGTAGAGAAAGGAAAGGAAAACAAACCAAGGGAGATTAGTAAAAGATAGGGAAGGAGGTAGGTACCAATGGTAGAGTTTGAGGAATTGGTGTTGATGTATTTGGCTTATGGGAGCCAGGTTGATGGGACGGTTGTGACTCGCATGAGTTTCCGTGCTGTCATGCGTGAGTCATGTAGAAGATGGGGCATCTCGACTACTTGTGAGAGAGCCATGTTGGCTGCGTTGAACTTCGACGGCAAATCCGTATGCCATGTCAGTTTTGGGTGCGTTGAGTTGAGTTGACGGAAGAGGGATATCGTTGGCAGTAGAAGAAGGATCAGAGTTGGGAAAGAAGGTTAGGATGTGGACACTCAAAACGGGAACAGCTCTTCGAGAGGAGAAGGAAACATAACCTGGGTCGACGGGCTGTGAGCGATTGAGCATTACCTTCTTGCTTCGCGACAGGGTGTCGATGATGAAATTCTCCATTTCGCGGTCACATAAGATGACGCAGGACAAATTCAACTGAAGTTGAGGGAGGTGTGATGATGATTGAGCTCAGTCAGATCAGAAAGTTAATGTTCAGATCACGTCGGGGTCACCATTATCGCAAAGGGGTTTAGGCTAAGCTGGTGGAACCCTAACTACTGCGATCTTCCAGGCCCGGTTCCTTAGAAGATGAGAGAAGTCTTGGAAAGCCAGGGAGTAGGAACAATATATTGGTTACAGAATGAGTTGGAGAATAGTTCATAGGAAGGTTGACTCGGTCTGGTGTACCTTCGACCGTGAGAGCCATGAGTGAGAGATCCGCGGCAGCTCGTCCGCCCCGCACCTGGGCGAAAGGCCGAGTGATGTGCGCATTGACTGCTGGGCCGTGAAAACGTAATTAAAAATCGATTAACTAATTATTTTAATTGACGAGGCGAGTCAGCGGTGTGCATAATCGATTAGCTGTTTAACTGACACGTTGACAGAGCAGGCAGATGAGTGCTCATGGGGCAGGCTCCTACAAGTAGGCTACACTAAAATCCTTAGTACAACCTCTACGTAATGCCGGTTTACCGGGGATTATTAATCTTTCGCGAACGTTGACATTTTGCACGAAATAGCGGCCGTATTCTATGTCCGTTTCGCTGCCGAAATGCGAAGCGGCAGGCAATGAGAACAAACGTGTCGGATTTGTCTGTTAGCATAAATGCAACAATCATTTTACCTTTCGCAATATTCTTCTGTCTGCCGATTTTCCAGGACCAGATAATGCACAGCTCTTCCTGGAGAAGTTAAACTCCCTAGCACTAATTTCAACATTACTTCATGTAAGCCTGAAGATGATAGTACTTTCCATTCCTTACTTAGAACGCCGATTCACATTTTTCCGTTCCTTATGGCTGATATGGTCAATGCTGTTTGGGGCCGCGGTCAGCGCGGACAATCCACGTGGGATGGCCAGTCGATTCATGGCGAACATTTGGGCGCTCTTTGCTCTGGTATTCTTGGCATCCTACACAGCAAATCTGGCCGCCTTTATGATATCAAAGGACGACTTCTACGACCTCAACGGGATCAATGACTGGCGGGTAAGTAGTTTCCGGCCTGATTGCCTCTGCTTAAAATCGACATTGGCATAGATGTTTGTGATGCATGGGTGTCTTCGATTTCAGATACCAGAGCCTGTGGTTATTGATGTAGTTTGGACAAGATACAACGTCAACATTTATTGCCAATACAAGCGAACATGCGTGTCCCAGGAAGCAATTGAGAAG